GTCGGGTAAGGGGGTAGGGTTGGGGCTGGGTAGGTTGTTTGACCGTAGGGTTGGGGTGGGGGGTTAGGGTTAGGGTTGTAGGTGTAGTAGGCATGGGCATTGAGATGGGTAGGGTTGGGTGGGCGCGGGCCGAGGAGACCCGAGCCGGGGTTGGGTTGCGGTGAGTTGTTCCAAGGTACGTAGCCGTCATGCGGGTGTCGTTGCGAGCCAGAGTTTCTTCCTCGTCCACGTCCACGACCGTAGTTGCGCCCCTGCTGTCCGCGGCCACCACTGCCGCCACTGTGCCCGCTGCCAGGTGCTCCACTGCCACGCCCGAAGCCGCCGCTGCCGGTGCCGTAAGGAGGGCCGCCGATTCTGCCAGTCAGGAGGGCTGTCCCGGCGTCGTCCGCCATGCTTTGCCGTTGCCGATCTAGGAGCAGGAGGGCAGATCGGGTCTGAAGAAAGTTGGGCAGCGGTTGTTGGAATTGTAGGAACGACGTCTGAGCCTGGAGATCTTCGGGTAGCCCCGAAGCATTTGGAGCATGAGTTGAGACTCAGAAACCGGGGCGTCGACGTCATCCAACCAATCTGCAATGTTCTGTAGGGTTTGACAATACGTGGCCATAGTCATCGTACCCTTGACAGTGGTTCGGAACTGATGCTCGAGTTGCATTGCCCGAGCATGCTTGTTGTCATGAAAAAGTGCATGAATAACCTTCCATAATTCAGCTGCGGTGGAGGTGGTGGAGATGACCAGATCTGAGACTTCGTCAGAAATAGTAGAGGGAATCCACCCTTGGATTAGGGCGTCAAGCTGGTACCATTCATCATCATCGGCAGAGGAGGGAGATGAAGAACCCGAGAAAAAGCCGTGGAGAGTGAACCGGCGCACCAGGAGAAGAAAAAGCCAGCTCCACTTCTTGTAATTGGGCTGAGAGAAGCTCAGCTGGATCGGGACATGAAGCTTCACGTTGGAGATTGTGGTGAAAGCAACATGAGGGGGATTGGAGGAGGAGGAGGTTGAGTTTTCTGAATTTTTGTCGGAGGAAGCCATTTTGAGGGAGGAGGAGGGGGTGTTGCCGACGTGGGGCTGTGCCGTCGCCGAGGGCAGTCCGCCGAGAGAGAGAGGAGGGCGGCGGCGGCTGTGCGGCTGGAGGAGGGCACGCTGAGAGAGAGAGAGAGGGAGAGGAGGTAGGGTTAGGGTTTTTGGTTTGAGTTTCGAACCCGTGACCTCTTAGTCAACGAGGCTCCGATACCATGAAGATTGTGATTTTCCTTAAACAATAAAATGGGAGTACATGGGTTTATATATACAACCTTTTCCTAATCCTAATCATGGTAGGATTCTACAGTAGGAAACAATATTTGTACAATTAATATAGAATATATATTTAACATAAATATAGAATATATTTAAAAAATACAATACCATATAAGAAGAACGAAGGAAGAGTAAATAAACACAAAAGGTGGGACTATGAAAAAGTGAAATGCACAATAATAATTAAAATAAATAAATCCATAAAAAATAGATGCTTCGTCAATAAGACACGAAGATGTTTTGCTGAAAAAATAAATTAAAGATGATAAAAAAATCTTTTTTATTTGATATAATTAAGATAATTTAATAAAAAAAACTTAATAATATAAATATATTTTGATATACATGACCAAAAAAGTTAGGGAAGTCATAATGTGTAGTAACAATTGCTAGAGGAAGGGGTAATTTCGATCTCGAGTTCCTCTACAGCGTACACATTATATTGTTTGAATAAAATACAATATAAGAAGAACAAATGAAGAGCAAATCCTTTAATATAATATTTGAGATTTTGATACTTAATATTTTGACACGTGGCAATTTAGGTGTCCTAATTTGAAGACACGTAAGCATGGGACACGCGTAAGCTTCTGAGAAAAAATAGGAAATTCCCTTACTTCTCTTCCCCTGCGCGATTTGCGTCTTTCTTCCTCGCCAAAACGTCTTCTTCGCCCATTCGCCCAAATATGGCAAATTCAAGAAAGGAATGGTTCCCGGATTCTTAGCGGATTCTAATTCCGAAATCTACACCGTCACCTTGATTCTTCCCGGATTCTTAGCGTGCTTAAACAGGTTATTCCCAAATTACATGTGCGATTCTAATATATTCATCTTCCATACCTATATTTCGAGCACTTCTCTACGATTTCCCCAATTTTTTTGGTCAATTAATCGATTTTGAATCGTGTGTTGCCTAATAGCGAGATTCTATACCTAATTTATATTCCTTTTCCGTTATTATATGTTCGCCAGATCCAAAAAAAATTTCTTGCGNAGAAAAACAAGCTTAACAGGCCAATAAGAACATAGTTGCTGCATGTTTATACAAGAAATAGATGCTTCCTGTTTATACAAAATAATCTTGGAGACTATTTATTGAAAAATCAATCCTGACTTAGTGCATGATTATAAAATCATACTTGCTGCCTGTTTTACAGACACTGCCGTAATATAATATCTTACCACGTGCTGCATGTGTATACTTCATTTTGTGTTACTTGCTTTGGGAATCTTCTAACACGAGTAACAAATTTGTATTGTTATTTCATAATTAGTTGTTGCTCACTAGAGTTGAGGCAATCAGGAAAATACTTGGTCAATATGCAAAAAAAGAAAGAAGACAAAGGGAAGAAATGCCAAAAAGAATGACAGGTGAATAAGCTTTAAAAGGTTTTCAATTTTCTATGTTTTTACCTACTCTTCCATTTTTATGAAGTTATATTTATTTTTTAAAATAGGTTTTATTGACGATTTAGTTCATGTATTGTTTGATCTAAAATGACTCTGGGTTTATATGTATTCATGGAGCAAAAACTAATGATTTTGGCTTTGGTCAAGGTTGCTTCGATAGGAGATGATAGTATTCTGAAAAATGTATATTTTGCTTCACCGTTTTGAATGTATCACAATTTAGATCATCCTAAGTCTTCAATTTCATATCTCTGCTATATACACAAGCAAGATGTTTTATGTGGTGGGAACATTTTCACACGTTCTGAGCATTTCACGACTCCAAACATCAGTTCAAGGCTTCATGCATCACAATATTAAAAACAGATACTCTGTGTTAAAAACAGCCCCAACCTCTTAATATTTCACAAATCAATTTCATTCGCGTCCACCATCCTACCACTCAAGCAGATTGTGGAGGAGAGTGCACGACCAACTGTAAGGTTCAAAACCCTAGCACACGGCACAACAACGAGCAGAGGCGACAGAGGAGGAACATCAATGGCCATCCTCCTTCGACACATATACCATGGAGCAATGATTTAAATGAAGAACGTCGCAGATCCAAAAACATCTATGTTCTTCTCAGAAAACTGGTATTTTTTCAACTTTCTATTTTTTTGAAGAAATAGAAAAAACGATTTAGAGCGAGTATATGATTTTGTACAGGTATTTTTGTTACCTATTTGGCCCAAGTTGAAACAATGACATAATTGTGGTTTAGAACCAATATATGATTTTGTCTATGTGGACTTTTAGTGGATTGATTTATCTGCCAATAAAAATGTGTTCAATAAATAGTTTGCCGAGTAGGTTGTGTTGACGGTCGATACGGTTGATCCATTTGTTTTTATCGTTTCTTACATGTTTAGGGTCTTCAAAGATTTGAGAAAGATCTGAACTGTTTTAAATCCTGTTTTAATCGAAGGCCGTGTTATAAACTCATACTTGGAGCTTGATGTCATCCAATATACCGATAATGTAACAGGAATTCTCAAGCAGGAAAACTTAGCGTAGTTTCAGTGGGCAATTGGCATATGCTCGAGACGCACAATCTCTTGACACCACGATCTCACCATACAATTCTATTATTTCTATCTGTGTCTCAGATAAGGCCGACGCCTATTTCTATGAGCTATAGAAGCAAAGCGAGACGATTTTAATGGATACAGATTCCGGCAACGACGATGCTTCTTTGCTTCAGGCAAGGTATGCTTCTTTTGAGAAGTATTCCCCTACAATCAAAATGATTTTGAGTCCATTAATATCATCCAATTTGGGTATGGGGAAACTTACATTGATAGGAATTCACATCTTTTTGATTTAAAATTAGGTAAAGACAACAATACGAGGGTGTAGGATGTCCTTCACCAGGCTGACTTAGGTGTAGAATTTGCAATACAGAAACAAAAGGAACAAAACTAAACAGAGGTTGGACTTTAGTTCTTGACTTCTCCGGTTTCCCAATAGTATTTTCAATAGCATGCTATTTAAATTCTACCCCCAACCACCCAAATGCAATTGATCTAATTTGATGTAAGAATCCTTTGCGTTCTCCGCTTTGCTTTCTGGTGCTAGCATGATTGTCGGCTGGTAGTGTATTTTAAATTCATAACTGTATTCTTATGTATTTTAAATTCATAATTGTATTCTCATGTTGACTTATCTTTTCAACGTGTAGAAACGTAAAAAAATCAAGGCGGTGGATATAGTTTTCATTCTTTTTCTTTGTTTATGAAGTGGTGGAACAGGCAATTTGGATGCTATTAATGAGCTATGGCATTTGTTAACCCTGAATTGATTTTGTCATTAAACATACAGGTTGTGTTCTGTGCAAGCACAGATCCAAAATTGGATTCTCATCACTTTAAAGATGTTCTTGACGAAGTAATGGTAGCAGGTGAGATACTTTTGTTCATTGGATGAGATTTTTGAGCAAAAATTTTATATAGGTCATGCACTAAATCTCTAAAAACACTAAGTTCTACCCATGTTCTATTGATTTTTTGCATGAATTTAATGTTAACTAAATTAATTGACTATTCATTTCATTACAGCCGCCTCAATTAATCGAGGTTTCAAGTAACTTTGCACAAAAGCACAACTAATCTGGCCCTGCCATGAATTGTGTGTGTTTTGCATCATCATGAGTTCCGTTTTTTGCATAACCGTAACTCCGTAAGGTGTTTATTATAACTATCAACAGTTGTGATATTGAAGAAATATAGTCTTAGAATTTAGAAGAATTCAATGAACTCTAAGGTTGCTTATCGTTCAATTGCTTATCATTCTCTCGAAAGATGATTGGTTCTACACATTTGACTTGATCATAAAGCTATGACCTCACCTCAATCAAGAAGTGGCTTTTAGATTTTATTGGGCTGTGTATGAAGATGGCAAAGAGGAAAGGATCATGTTATAAAGATCATGATGAACAATCAGATGAGGATTACAAGGTCAGTGAAAATGTGCTATTTTATTGTTCAGAGGATGAAACTTTTTCTTTAGTTTGTGATACATCAGGAGAGAGTTTGGGTGATTTTGAAGACGATGATGAGTTGGAAGAGCTGAAGAATAAGAAGCAGAAAAAAGTTGTGAAAAAGAATGATATCATACCAATTCGTGGAAAATTGAATTGCTGCAGTCACTTCTTCTGTTTTGTGTGCATCATGGAGTTGTCAAAAGTTGAGTCCCGGTGTCCCCTGTGCAAGTGCAAGCAAAGATTTGTAACAATCACAAAGGCTGCAACTAAATCAAGTGCTGGATTCCATTCAAGGACTGCGGTGATTCAACTAATGTTGACCTCTGCATTATAATCCCTTCAATTCTAAAAATTTTTCCTATTTTGATGTTTTTAGTCAAACAGTAAAATTCTTTGATTATATTTTAAGATTAATCCAATTATATCGAACCTATATTATGATTAAATATATTTTTCTCAAAATTTGTGATAAAAAATGACTGTTTGACCAAAAAAGTCTAATGTGAGAGATTTTTTAGGACTAAGAGTATATTTTTTCCTTATTAGTATGTGTAATATTCTTATCGTGCATCTTCGGTGCTACTTCAAACCCATAAGAGACAGAGAAACATTGATCTGTCATGTATTTTGCGTGCCATTAATTTCAACGAAGGTAAAAACAATGGTCAATATATTTTTATTACTATATTGAAATGAATACCTACAATACTTTTATTTTTCTCT